CCCTGCTCGCCCCCAGCTATACCCTACCCTGCTCTACTGGCCCAAGCTGTATATCCCACCCTGCCATAACGGTCCAAGCTGTACCCTACCCTGCCCTGCTTGCTACCCTGATCGACTGGCCCTGGCTGTACCCTACCTTACCCTGCTCTAGTGGCCCTGGCTGTACCCTAACCTGCCCTGCTAGCACTGGCTATACCCTACCCTGCCCTGCTGGCCCTGGCTATACCCTACCCTGCCCTGCTGGCCCTAGCTGTACCCTGCCCTGCTTGCCCCAGGCTGTACCTACCCTGCTCTTGTGGCCCTAGCTGTACCCTACGCTGCCCTGCTCGCCCTAGCTGTCCCCTACCGTGCCCTGCTCGCCCCCAGCTGTACCCTAGCCTGCTATACTGGCCCTGTCTGTACCTACCCTGCTCTAGTGGCCCTAGCTGTACCCTATCCTGATCTACTGGCCCTAGCTGTACCCTACCCATCCCTACTGGCCCTAGCTGTACCCTACTCGCCCTACTGGCCCTAGCTGTACCCTACCCTTCCCTACTGGCCCTAGCTGTACCCTACGCTGCCCTGCTGGCCCTGGCTACACCCTAGCCTGCTATACTGGCCCTAGCTGTACCCTACCCTGCCCTCCCTGGCTGTACCCTAACCTGCCCTGCTAGCACTGGCTATACCCTACCCTGCCCTTGCAGCCCTAGCTGTACCCTATCCTGATCTACTGGCCCTAGCTGTACCCTACCCTGCCCTACTGGCCCTAGCTGTACCCTACCCTGCCCTACTGGCCCTAACTGTACCCTACGCTGCCCTGCTTGCCCTGGCTATACCCCTCCCCTGCCCTGCTCGCCCCCAGCTATACCCTACCCTGCTCTACTGGCCCAAACTGTATATCCCACCCTGCCATAACGGTCCAAGCTGTACCCTACCCTGCCCTGCTTGCCCCCGGCTGTACTCTGCCCTCCTCGCCCCAGGCTGTACCCTACCCTGCCCTGCTTGCCCCCGGCTGTACCCTACCCTGCCCTACTGGCCCTTGCTGTACCCTACTCTGCCCTACTGGCTCTATCTGTACCCTACCCTGATCTACTGGCCCTAGCTGTACCCTACCCTGCCCTACTGGCCCTAGCTGTACCCTACCCTGCCCTACTGGCCCCATCTGTACCCTAGCCTGCTATACTGGCCCTGGCTGTACCTACCCTGCTCTAGTGGCCCATGCTGTACCCTAACCTACCCTGCTCGCCCTAGCTTTCTGCTACCCTTCCCTGCTCGCCCCCGGCTGTACCCTACCCTACGCTGCCCTGCTGGCTCTTGCTGTACCCTACACTGCCCAGCTGGCCCTGGCTATACCATACCCTATCCTGCCCTGCTGGCCGTGGCTGTACCCTACCCTGTCCTGCTGCCGCCCTGGCTGTACCCCTACCCTGTCCTGCTCAACCCCAGCTGGACCCTAGCCTGCTATACTGGCCCTGGCTGTACCTACCCTGCTCTAGTGGCCCTAGCTGCACCCCTACGCTGCCCTGCTGGCCCTTGTTATACCCTACCCAGACCTGCTGGCCCTGGCTGTACCCTGCCCTGCTTGCCCCCGGCTGTACCTACGTGGCCCTAGCTGTACCCTATCCTGATCTACTGGCCCTAGCTGTACCCTACCCTGCCCTGCTCGCCCTAGCTGTCCCCTACCCTGCCCTGCTCGCCCCAGCTGTACCCTAGCCTGCTATACTGGCCCTGGCTGTACCTACCCTGCTCTACTGGCCCTAGCTGTACCCTACCCTGATCGACTGGCCCTGGCTGTACCCTACCTTACCCTGCTCTAGTGGCCCTGGCTGTACCCTAACCTGCCCTGCTAGCACTGGCTATACCCTACCCTGCCCTGCTGGCCCTGGCTATACCCTACCCTGCCCTGCTGGCCCTAGCTGTACCCTGCCCTGCTTGCCCCAGGCTGTACCTACCCTGCTCTTGTGGCCCTAGCTGTACCCTACGCTGCCCTGCTCGCCCTAGCTGTCCCCTACGCTGCCCTGCTCGCCCCAGCTGTACCCATCCCTACTGGCCCTAGCTGTACCCTACCCTGCCCTACTGGCCCTAGCTGTACCCTACCCTGCCCTACTGCACCCTAGCTGTACCCTGCCCTGCTTGCCACAGGCTGTACCTACCCTGCTCTTGTTGCCCTAGCTGTACCCTACGCTGCCCTGCTGGCCCTGACTACACCCTAGCCTGCTATACTGGACCTATCTGTACCCTAACCAGCCCTGCTCGCCCTAGCTGTCCCCTACCCTGCCCTGCTATACTGGCCCTAGCTGTACCCTACCCTGCCCTGCTGGCCCTTGTTATACCCTACCCTCTCCTACTGGCCCTAGCTGTACCCTACCCTGATCTACTGGCCCTGGCTGTACCCTACCTTACCCTGCTCTAGTGGCCCTGGCTGTACCCTAACCTGCCCTGCTGGCACTGGCTTTATCCTACCCTGCCCTGCTGGCCCTGGCTATACCCTACCCTGCCCTGCTGGCCCTAGCTGTACCCTGCCCTGCTTGCCCCAGGCTGTACCTACCCTGCTCTTGTGGCCCTAGCTGTACCCTACGCTGCCCTGCTGGCCCTGGCTACACCCTAGCCTGCTATACTGGACCTAGCTGTACCCTACCCTGCCCTGCTCGCCCTAGCTGTCCCCTACCCTGCCCTGCTCGCCCCAGCTGTACCCTAGCCTGCTATACTGGCCCTGGCTGTACCTACCCTGCTCTACTGGCCCTAGCTGTACCCTACCCTGATCGACTGGCCCTGGCTGTACCCTACCTTACCCTGTTCTAGTGGCCCTGGCTGTACCCTAACCTGCCCTGCTAGCACTGGCTATACCCTACCCTGCCCTGCTGGCCCTGGCTATACCTTACCCTGCCCTGCTGGCCCTAGCTGTACCCTGCCCTGCTTGCCCCAGGCTGTACCTACCCTGCTCTTGTGGCCCTAGCTGTACCCTACGCTGCCCTGCTGGCCCTGGCTACACCCTAGCCTGCTATACTGGACCTAGCTGTACCCTACCCTGCCCTGCTCGCCCTAGCTGTCCCCTACCCTGCCCTGCTCGCCCCAGCTGTACCCTAGCCTGCTATACTGGCCCTGGCTGTACCTACCCTGCTCTACTGGCCCTAGCTGTACCCTACCCTGATCGACTGGCCCTGGCTGTACCCTACCTTACCCTGCTCTAGTGGCCCTGGCTGTACCTACCCTGCTCTACTGGCCCTAGCTGTACCCTACCCTGATCGACTGGCCCTGGCTGTACCCTACCTTACCCTGCTCTAGTGGCCCTGGCTGTACCCTAACCTGCCCTGCTAGCACTGGCTATACCCTACCCTGCCCTGTTGGCCCTGGCTATACCTTACCCTGCCCTGCTCGCCCTAGCTGTCCCCTACCGTGCCCTGCTCGCCCCCAGCTGTACCCTAGCCTGCTATACTGGCCCTGGCCGTACCTACCCTGCTCTAGTGGCCCTAGCTGTACCCTATCCTGATCTACTGGCCCTAGCTGTACCCTACCCATCCCTACTGGCCCTAGCTGTACCCTACCCTGCCCTACTGGCCCTAGCTGTACCCTACCCTGCCCTACTGGCCCTGGCTACACCCTAGCCTGCTATACTGGCCCTAGCTGTACCCTACCCTGCCCTCCCTGGCTGTACCCTAAACTGCCCTGCTAGCACTGGCTATACCCTACCCTGCCCTTGCAGCCCTAGCTGTACCCTATCCTGATCTACTGGCCCTAGCTGTACCCTACCCTGCCCTACTGGCCCTAGCTGTACCCTACCCTGCCCTACTGGCCCTAGCTGTACCCTACGCTGCCCTGCTTGCCCTGGCTATACCCCTGCCCTGCCCTGCTCGCCCCCAGCTATACCCTACCCTGCTCTACTGGCCCAAGCTGTATATCCCACCCTGCCATTACGGTCCAAGCTGTACCCTACCCTGCCCTGCTTGCCCCCGGCTGTACTCTGCCCTCCTCGCCCCAGGCTGTACCCTACCCTGCCCTGCTTGCCCCCGGCTGTACCCTACCCTGCCCTACTGGCCCTTGCTGTACCCTACTCTGCCCTACTGGCTCTATCTGTACCCTACCCTGATCTACTGGCCCTAGCTGTACCCTACCCTGCCCTACTGGCCCTAGCTGTACCCTACCCTGCCCTACTGGCCCCATCTGTACCCTAGCCTGCTATACCGGCCCTGGCTGTACCTACCCTGCTCTAGTGGCCCATGCTGTACCCTAACCTTCCCTGCTCGCCCTAGCTTTCTGCTACCCTGCCCTGCTCGCCCCCGGCTGTACCCTACCCTACGCTGCCCTGCTGGCTCTTGCTGTACCCTACACTGCCCAGCTGGCCCTGGCTATACCATACCCTATCCTGCCCTGCTGGCCGTGGCTGTACCCTACCCTGTCCTGCTGCCCTGGCTGTACCCCTACCCTGTCCTGCTCAACCCCAGCTGGACCCTAGCCTGCTATACTGGCCCTAGCTGTACCCTGCCCTACTGGCTCTATCTGAACCCTACCCTGATCTACTGGCCCTGACTGTACCCTACCCTACCCTGCTCTAGTGCCCTACTGGCCCTAGCTGTACCCTATCTTGCCCTACTGGCCCTGACTGTACCCTACCCTACCCTGCTCTAGTGGCCCTGGCTGTACCCTAACCTGCCCTGCTCGCCCTAGCTGTCTCCTACCCTGCCCTGCTCGCCCCCGGCTGTACCCTACACTGCCCTACTGGCCCTAGCTGTACCCTATCTTGCCCTACTGGCCCTAGCTGTACCCTATCTTGCCCTACTGGCCCTGACTGTACCCTACCCTACCCTGCTCTAGTGGCCCTGGCTGTACCCTAACCTGCCCTGCTCGCCCTAGCTGTCTCCTACCCTGGCCCTGCTCGCCCCCAGCTATACCCTACACTGCCCTACTGGCCCTAGCTGTACCCTATCTTGCCCTACTGGCTCCATCTGCACCTAACGCTGCTCTACCTAGTACTTCCTTTATCCCCCACTGCCCTCTTTAGTAATTATTTTCTACTGACATACCGCTTTATACTTGATCTGGTTTTCAGGTTACTCCAGCGGTGATCTTGTTTTACGGGACTCCAGGCCAGGAATGGTCTACACATTGCTGTAAGGTAGACCCAATCCAAGGTTGCGCCGCTGATGCTTTTCCCTCTTTACCTCTTCATTGAAGTTTTTTATTTGGCACAACATGATTGTTCCCATCCTTATGTTGTAATTAATTTTCTGTCAAATAAAATCTTTATGTTAGATTGACCTTTTGCTTTCCTTGACTCACATTTACTTTTCATATGAAAATAAACAAATGTTCATTTAAATAAATTTGAAAAATTAAACATAAAATTGACCCCACACTACCACCACATCACAATCTTATTACCCTTGCTGCAGACTAAGCAAATTAAAATTTCCACTAAAATATTTTGTTAAAATCTCAGATTTATTACGTATTTTATAATACATAGTTTAATGAATACATAGGTTAGCTTCTACAGGCAAGGTAATAAGGTGTGTTACTTAATTAAATATTGTTCGCTCCAAGGATAAAATAAATTAGCCTAATTTTGTTAATATACATCTTGCAACCTAGGAAACATACAATAATTTACTGAATGTCCATAAGGGAAATTTAGGTATTTTAAATAATATATGCAGTTTTAGAACTTTTCTACGTAATCGTTTGAAGTAAACATATTATTTTTTCCAGCTCTAAGAAACGGTATTGAATCAAATTGCATAGATTTCTGCTTTGAGGGTCAAAAATAAAAAGCTCCATTTTACTCCGAACAACCCTGCAAATCCCCTTTACTAACGTCTGGTTCAAATAGCCTAAAAGTAGGTTTACATATTATTTGTAACAAATTTCATCTAAACCAGCTCATTATCCTGCTATCGGACATGCTGTATATTATAAAAATGAATTTGAAAGAATGTTTTTTTTTTTAATCTGGGAACCTTGAAACAAAAAAGTCTGGTGTCTCCGTCTTACCATGAGACCTACGGAATTGCTTATTCCTTAGAATGGGACGATAAGCCAAATTCTATAAATGGGGTAAAATATGAATGTTCAACAAAGTAAATAAGAGGTTAATTGACCTTGGACGTGTATGAATTTGGTGGAATGGTGTTTTTGGTCTCTGACAAAATGGGAAATAGGTACTTGTACGCTAATATTCCATACATGGAAAATTCGCTAAAATTATATGTTTTTGAAGAAATTGGGTAGAAATATGTGAACCCTATCATTCATTCTTAAAACGAGTGGCCGGAATATGGCAACAGGGTTTTATGGGGTTAAGTGAGTTTTTTTTTCAATTTTTCACACTCAAAAGATTAAATTTCACAATTTCTTTACAAACTTGTTGAGTCCAGAAAAAAAAATTATGTATATCTAAGCGTTTTATAAGCTTAATGAGGGAAGTCTGAATAGGAAAATATTTAGTGAAAATCCAATCGGGCAAATGGAATTTGCTTAGACTGCAGGATTGCTGTTGCAGGGGTTTTCTTTACCCTTAGAACAGTTCAGTACAACCAAAAGCGAAAAGGGGCATTTTAGAGCCCACCATTAAAAAATAAATAATACCTTGTTTAAGCTGTATTTACAATTTACAGTAAATAGTGAAAGTGAATAAACACACTACTGACAATCCAGTGGTATGTCTAGATGTAGCCCTATGATATGTATACATTATTTCAGTTCAATAGTAATCATATTGCTGTGACTTGACTACACAACAGTCACACATTGGCTGGTACAGCAAGTCTAGTAACTAAGTTATTAAGTAGCAAACATACCTATGGCGTGTATTCCATTGGCCATTGCAGACTTGATATATGATGAGAGACTTGTCTTCAAACGCTAAAGTTGCGAGCCATCCACGCGATGAAGTTGGCCACCTTCTGTATCTTGACTGGGTCTCGCTTTCCCTGGGCAAATTGAATGTTATTTCCAAACATCTAATAATAATGAATAATTTATTTTATTGGTCATCTGGATACATAACCTATAATTGACAAACAACATTGTGGTTTAAATAAATGTTGAGGAAGTCGAATTACAAAATAATCGTAAGGACTCAGAATGAAGACTTTACAAAGATATTTATGTGAAAATATATAATTTTGAAGTCGTTATTTCTTACATTCAACTCAAATTTTAAAAAATAATAAATTTCACCACACAAAGATGTTTTTAGCCGTTTTACAAAACGTTAATTGGAGGCTGGAAGCTGTCCAATGTGTCCTGTCCTGTGTGGAATTGCTGTCCAGGACCGAAATGGCAGCTGTCATCGTCATTGGGGACCGATTTGGTTTTTACGGCCCTAGGGTCACAAAACCAGTTGTTCGTTTACTTACTTAAAACATCAATGTATATAAAATAAAATATACAAGCAATATCCATATGCACGTTATGTCATCACTGCCTAGCAACTATTTATTAGTATATTATTGCTGGTTCCTCTAGATTATTTCTTCACATCTGGTATTTACTCAGGGGAGGTATAGAAGAGGCTACGATGACAGCTGTGGGCTTCTTATTAGCTGAGGGAACGCCATTACCGTAACAAAACGGACAATAGCCATCGGCCTCGGTGGTCTAATGGTTAGCGTGCTGGGCTGATATACTGTAGGTCCCGGGTTCGAATCCCGCTGGTAGCATTAACTTTTTGTCCAAGATGTTTTTATTATCAGCAAGTTTGGTTGGTTTGGTTCGGTTATTACAGTTTAATTTTATTATTAAGTCGTTATAAAATTTTAATTGAGCAATTTCTAGTTTTATTTAATAAACAGAATTATTTTTCCGATTACTAAACTTTTGTTATATTATTTCTTTATCAGCAAGTTTGGTTAGTTCGGTTAGGTTATGATAGTTTAATTTTATAATTAAAAAATAATAAAATTGAATTTGAGGCATTTATAATTTTATTTTATGAACAGAACTATTTTTGCGATTGGTAAACCTTCATTGCCAAAGTGCTCTCTACTACAGCGCTGTTCACGGAGGAATTTAGAACTAAATGCCTCATTCGTACCTCCCCTAAGTCAGACCCTTCACATCTATATATTTATAACCTTAAAGTTGTAGTTGTGTTAACTGTTTATATGCATTTATAGTGTGAAAATGACAACTTAAGACCCTCAATTTTTGTACAGTGTGGTGAAAAATGGCGTTCGTACCACGGGCCGAGAGGATTTTGCAGCTCTTGACTTGGTCCCGAACTGGTCCTAGGTACGAAACATTCTATGAAGGGGGGCGGCACTAAGGATAGTGCCTAGGGGGGAAATATTTATAAATCCGTCTCTGGTCGGGAAGCAGGGTATATGAAGGTGTATTTATTTATGCATAGGTAAGATAGGCATAAATGCCAAAATCAGACGACCATTTAGATAATGGATTTTGTGGTGTTTACTAATAAATACTGAGACAAAAATAATATGTTACTAACCTGTCCTCAATCAATCCCGATTTGTCGTGGATGTCTAGTTTCAGGGTTAGAATCCTATTTTCAAATCCTTTTCTCATCAACTGTCAAACATATTCTTCTTGCATTTGCCGTTGTCAAAGTTAATTCAAAGTTCACAACATATAAACCAACACATATAAACAAAAGAAACATTTATATTTGCAAAAATATACAAACACGCGGCCGGCCAAGGACAAAACCAGACATGTACAAATTTAAGGAACTCAAATCCGTTGTAAACAAAAAATACCCCAGTCAAACATGTCGAATAAGCAAATTTATATTTGCCTGATTTGATTTCCACTTAAATCTAGAGATTTAAGTTAGCTTTAATTTCGGATTTGGTTTCCTTTAATTAGTAAACGTCAAAAAGGCGATTTATTAGGTTCTGGAATCACACCTGGAAACTTAATTTCAAATTTTTCTTGGCATAAAACAAATTATTCACTTTAGATTGGGGAAATGCCACGTTGTGTCTTATTTACAATAAATTCCCAATAACACCAAACCTCATTGATTGCAACAATGCATATTAGCTGATCAGCAATGTAGTAAAGTATACAGGAATATCAAAAAATAACTTTGTTTTTGTCATTCAAATGTCTCAAAGTACATTTAATTTAGGTTGCACATTTAAAAAAACACTCTTTATAAAGGTGTTGTGAAAATGAGAACCTAATTTTAATACAAACCAATTGATTTTAAAATACATTAATTATTGGTATAGTGTTATGCGTAGCAAATTATTTTTCACTTGTGTTATATGTAGGCCTTTTACTAAATTCCAGGTAATGGTTACACTACCTATATCAAGTCCAATTTGAATAAATTCAGTTATGATCACTTAAAATTTGACAAAAAATTTAAGAGCACGGCTACCAGTTATGGTTGAGAGTTGTGCATTTGACAGTTTTTGATTATAGCCAGGTCCGACATCCATTTAGCTTAGCCGTGTACTCAAACAGCCACTGCATTATTTTAAATCCCCATTGATAATAATTGCCTTTGTATAAACCTTTTTTCAAGTACAATTTAACATTTCTATGGCTAACCTGGTCAGGAAGGTTGTCAAATACTCCGTCTGTGGCGACCAGAATAACATCTCCATCTTCCACTGGGTAATTTCATGTGTCTACTTCCTCTGGCGTATAACACATTGTGTTTTGAAATAGATTTCAACAATGTTTTATTGTGTTAGCCCAAGATAGGCTAAACAATTATAGAACTAAGATTCAGTTAACATCTTTATTACTACTAACTTCCTAACAAGTGTTACATGAAATAAGACATCCTAATAATCTGGGCAGAATAAGACGTGTTTCTAGGCTCTTGGGTTTTATGTCCTTATTTTATTGTCGCGTAGGAAATGGGGCATGCCGGCATGTCTTTATGAAAGTAATTTTTATTTTATTATCATTTATCTTGAAGTAAAATCAATTAAAATAATAATTACAATTTATCGAGGAGATTAACTGTTTCTAAATTTGTGTGTACAAACCATACAAAATTAACAAACAAGATATTAAAATTAGGTAGACTCACCTGGTTACTCTGAGTTTGCGGGTTAGAATCCAGCCTGAGGCTCCTAGGGAGCTGGTGTAGGTGCACTGCACAGGCATGTGATATCGCCATCCTCGAGATAGGCTCCTAGCTGCCAGGAAACCTAAGAAAGGCTCCAGTTTGGCAAGCCTATGCCTTTATAATATGGAAGATCTAATATTATAATATGTCCTTGTGCACTGCCAGTAAACACCTGTTTGCTTTATAAGAACGTCAAAACAAAGTCACTTTAAGCGATCTTAGTTTTTCCTGTCTCCTGAAAAGTACAGTTTTTTACACACAACTTTTTCACGAACGTCAACGAAACGACAAAAAGTTTCAGTGTACTATTCTTAATGAGCTATAAGTATACCCATTGTCTAATTACTAGTTTCAGACCATATGACCATATCAATCAAAATCAATATATTTACTCACCCAATAAGTTATGGGCTGCTTATTCTCTAACAGCTCGTAGTAGCTGCGCGCTAGAAGACTAGCAGGTGCAGTGGTGGAGACTAGATCCACGTAGGTTTCCAGGGTCGATGCTGTATCTCCTCCAACCAACAACACCGTCCGCCACACCTGAAACACAACACAAGTTGGTTAGTATCATCTTTCACTATTGATAGTACTAGACACAAATGTTAGGTAATGTTGTTGTTAGTTTTTAAAAATAAAAATGAACGTTGTTGAATGGTACCAAGGGCAGTGTGTTTGTCAATAACTAATTTCCATGGTATACATCAACCTTTTAACCAAGCCAATCTAAAAAGGCATCTTACTGAACACTGCAGGATCTTTTACATCACATAAATTATTAAAGAATCAATAACTAAAAGGTTGTTCCATTAGTGCACTCTCTGAAAGACTTATTCAACTACTTTCATACAATAAAAATAAAACTGGCAACTAACGTATGAGATGTATATTTATTTCATTTCAGTATTTAAAGTCAATTGTATCATATAAACAGTGATTTGATACATGTTTCAGTATGTTGGTATGAACAGTCTAACGTATTTTAAATTAAGTTAAATACTCAAATGCAAGAAGGGTAACAATAACAATGTAAATTTAAAATTTTGGCTATTGTCACTACAAAAAATACTATTAGGCTACCGATAAGAGGGTCAGCCATTTGTATAACCATCTGGACCGTGACAGATAAAATGAGAACTGTACAAAAATGAAGTTTTATAAACTTTCTAGGTAAATAGGGAACATTAGCTGGTTTTGTTTCCAGTACCTACCTAGATACTAGGTATAAATTATCGGATCATTACAATAGGACATTTCTTCAAGCCCTCCTTATAAAAATAGGTACCCATCATAATTTAAAAAGCACTGTTATCCTAGTTTTAGGTAGGCCTAAATAAGTTAAGGAATGACCAAAAATATTTAGAGATGATAATTTTACTAGCTTGAAAAATAAAGTAGTCTTTTAACAGTCCTAAACAAAAAACATTACACACAAAATTGTGTTGAAAAACCCAAATAAAAATTGTGAATTCGGGTCACCGAAATTTTATCCCCCTGGAATTTTACCCCCTGGGCAAAGCTGAGGTCACTATGACGTAGTACTCAAAAATCCCCGCGGATTTGGAAGTCTAATGAAAATAGACAGAGCAAGATTAATTAGATTAACAATAAAAACCTGAATTTTACCCCCAAGCCAGATCAGGGTACCCACCATAGTGAGATGACAAAATTCATGCAGAATTCATGGTTTTCATTGGTAGTTTGAAAAAATTCATAGTCAATACGCTCATACAAGTTGCGGCAAAAAAACAGATCTATTTTATGTAGCACACTGTTCAGCAACATGTCGTCTGAGAGTGGTGGAGTTAGGCTCGTTGGAAAGCCTACACGATGTTATTATCTGTGGTCATAGAGCAGTGGTCACCTGAGCATCGTGCGTTTGTTATCAAGTCAAATTTAAAAAATAATGATTCATAATGAGTCCTTGCAACTCAGCTGCAGTTTGGTGATTTTTTTTTTTATTAGGGCGACATTGATTCCGTCATGTGGCACAATCATGTGGTAGACAATCAACTATAAAACAATGGTTTCTGCGTTCAAAAAGAAGCTGACAAGCCGTTCAAAGTCAGATCGGACGAGTCCGTGCTGCTGTGTATAACAGTCCTCGTATGCCCGCTTGAAAACGAACATCATCTTTAAGCATGTCTGACCGCTTGGTTACACTAATTTTGAGTTTGATCTCGTTCACCCGGCCAAAAAGTCCTGTTTTCCCCCCATATGAATGTCATGAAATATCCTGTGTTCTGGTTTATCTTATTACACAATGTACTTATTGGTTTTTTTTAATCACAGATTATAGACACAATTAATGGTTTATTGTCTGTGGTTTTATCCACAAAGCTAAAAACATCAGGCGTGAGAGCCAGAAATTCGATTTTATTGTTTTATTATGTGCCCCGTTTCAATTTCGTGCTTGGTCTAAAACTTCTATTTTTGTGATTAAAGTCCCCATACCCCTGTACCCATACGCGGGGGTAGGCCACTTAATGATTTTTCGAACCATTTACAGTCAAAGATCTAAGATCTCATACATCAGAAGACTTAGCTGACATCAGCATCTAACCCAAAATGAATTGGAATGAACTAAGCAATTGTTTCTGAACGTGGAAAATTTTAAATACTCGTCTCCAAATGGTATTCTCTCTTGGTGTTCGTTTTACTGAACTGTTTTTAAATATGAAATTTTGGCAAATTTAATGATACTAGTAGAACAATTTTTCCTGATTTTTGAAAATTCATGGTCCAATGGAGAAATCATGCATAGGCCCTAATCCATGCCTTTTTTCATGGTCACAAGAATTCATGCATAATTCAAGCTTTTCAAGGTTTTCATGGCTGGTGACAACCCTGCAGATATAGAAATTATTATATTTAAACTAAAGCCACAACACAAATCTTATACTTTTATTAAGAAACAGCTTTGGTACGATAACAAATATTTGGCTCAAAGAAAACGGGTTTTTAAGATGTTAAATCGTTACAGGAAATCAAACTGCCAAATAATCAAATTACAGTACTCACATGAGCAAAAAGCTTTTATAGTTCGGCCGCTTAGAAAGCGACCTCCTCCAGCATTGGTTTAGCATTAGCGCGCAGGTCGTTTTCTAAGCGGCCGAACTATAGATCCCTTTGTAGAGAAAAAAACAATTGTAGGCTACCAAAATAATTTAGTTATCAATTTAAGTCAAACATCAGATTCAAGGAATTTTTGGCAAGCAGTCAGTGTAATTAAAACATACCCCCGCCGCAGCAAACCTGCAGACTAAGCGAATTTCCATTTCCCTGAATGGATTTACACTAAAATGTCTCCTTAAAAATATCACATTTATTCCCTATTTAAATAGAATCAGTTTAAAACATACTTAAAACATACATAGCTGCAACAGGGAGGGTAAAAGTGTTTTTTATGTAAAATGTTAATAGTTAGTAAGAAATAAAAACATTTTCCAAATTTGGGCAAAATATGTTAATAAACAAGCAAACTACAACAGTTTACTTATTCTCCATAAGAATAACATGGGAATTTTATATTTAAATTTTTCGGAATTTTCTCCGTAACCATTAGGCGCATTATAACGCTTCAATATACTAAATTATTTGTTTTTTTAAGCTCTACAAAATAGTTTAGAAAGAAATTGAAAAATTTTATGTTTTTGGGTAAAAATTGGGACAACCCATTTTTACCCCATATAAGCCCCCATAAACCCCCGTTTCCATGGTCCGATCATGCTGGTTCGCGAACTCGTTCGAATATACGTAGGTTTACACGTTTGTACCAAATTTCATCAATATCGGATCATTTTTGCTCGAGTTATCGCGCTAACGGACACATATATCTATAAGTATAAAAGAGGATGTTTGTATATATATTTGTTTGTTTGTTTGTTTGGCAGTGATAAACTCAGACACCGCTGAACCGATTGCCACGAAACTTGGTACATACGTGTAGAATGTCATGGAATAGGTTTATACACACCATCAATTTCGTGAACCGTCCAATCGGCTCCGCCCCAGTGGCTCTGGAGTTTCCCATGTTAACCTTATGAGAAATGGAATTAATGAATCTTAATAGCTGTTTCAATTAAACAAGTTGGTTCTGTTCTATGATGTCCAATAGCATTAAAGTTACAAGGATTACCAACAGGGTGCAGCACTATTATTTCTTTTACATTTATGACAACAGCTAATTTGCAACCAAAAGGTGAGTGAGCGTAGCGAACGAACTTCAACCTGGAGGCGAGTTAGCGTAGCGAACGAGCTAACCTGAAGGCAAGTGAGCGTAGCAAACGAGCTAACCTGAAGGCAAGTGAGCGCAGCGAACGAGCTCCAACCTAAAGGTGAGTGAGCGTAGCGAACGAGCTCCAACCTAAAGGTGAACTTCAACCAGGACGTGATTGAGCCATGCGAACGAGATCATCTTGAAAATTAAGAAGTTAAACGGGGCAAAGCCCGCGGGATTATAAATAGTCAAAGGCAAGACAACGTCTGCCGGGTTCAGCTAGTATAATATATATATATATATATGAATTTGAACGGATAGTGTTTTTGGCCTCTAGGGAGGCCCTCAAAACGAAAAAAAAATCGGTCCCGGGTCCAGGTCTTACCATGAGTACTACGGTAATAGCTTATTCCCTATATGGGAAATTCGCTAAAAGGAAGGGAAGAAGATTGGGAAAATTGCATCATCAGAGTGGGTTTAACATTTTCACACCCTACTCAACCCACCTTTACTAGTAGAGAAGATAAGTTACAGTGACGGTTCTAGGACCTTGTCAAGGGGGGGGGCTACCGAGGGGCTTGGG